CTGTACACACACACACACACACACACACACACACACACACACACACACACACACACACACACACACACACACACACACACACACACACACACACACACACACACCGAGCAGTGTGTGTTTGAACAGCAGCTTAGACGGTCAGGATGTTAAATCTGATGGAATGTTCCTTTAAATCAGCAGACATCAGATTACAGTGACACACACACACACACACACACACACACACACACACACACACACACACACACACACACATGGATGTGCGAGTGTTGAAGTGAAACAGTGATTTGCGGTTTGAAGCATCAACGAAGAAGAAGAAGACGCCCGGAGGCGGTTTGGCAGAAAAAACAAACGTCAACAATGTGGCGTAACCACGACGTCCACCAACGAAGAAGAAGATGGGGGGGCAGATAGTTTCTAACCTCTTTCTGGGAATCTTTCGATAGAGACAAACATTTTCCATTCTACTTCTAATTTTTAATTTTAACAATTATTTTTAAGTTAAAATTGAAAAAGCTGATTTTTTTTATGTTTTGTATCTTTTTACAAAACAGGGTTAGCATCATGTGAACTGGTTTAATTACTTTTTCTCACATTTTATCGAAACACATCCCATAATTTCCCTCAACTCAAACACAGTGAACTCTAACGTCTCCGAGAAACCGTGGTGACGTCACATCGCTGATCAGAGGAGCTAGTGCAAAGGAAGCATGGCAACGATAGCTAAGCTAGGCTAGTGCTAGGCTAGACTAGGTTTAGGCTAGTGCTAGGCTAGGCTCGACTAGGTTTAGGCTAGACTAGTGCTAGGCTAGACTAGGTTTAGGCTAGGCTAGTGCTAGGCTTGACTAGGTTTAGGCTAGGCTAGTGCTACAGAGGCTGGCCCTCTTCCCTCAGTATTACTGCATGCTGACTCTTCAGGTCACTTGGTGATGAAGACAAACTGCTTCAGGCCACATTAATAACTATAATAATGAATAATAAACTGCAATGTGTATCTCTGCTGGGCCTGTGGGGCTAATAAGAGCTAATGTCAGTCGGGGGAAACGTTAGACCCCGTCGGGCCGAGCTGCTGTCGCTAAGGGGTTCTCTGTGGAAGTGGAATCACGTAAACACCACTCATTCTGTTATTCTGTGATGTTTAAATACATGTTCTCCAGTTTCAACTTTGTGGGAAAATGATGATTTACTCCTCTTATAACTCTTATTTATGAATCGGTGGCATTTTAAAACACCTTCACTAAAGAAACTCCACCGACTTTAAAGTCTCATTAAATTTAACGAACTGATGATATTAATAATTAATAACTGAATTTAGTCAGAATGTGATTCATCTTTACACAAGGGGCGGCTTATGAGGACACGCACGCACGAACGCACGAACGCACGAACGCACGCACGCACGCACGCACGCACGCACACACACACACACACACACGCGGCGCTCCGGTGAAGATCTAAGGAACCTCGAGAGGCTCAACCCGTAGGACCTTCTGTGTCTCCTTCCCTACTTCCTGTTTCCTCCTTCCTTTAGTCACTCTGTCCTTTATTCTTCTTCTAAATCATCTAAGGCTGCACAAAGTCTGGAGATGGAGGAGGGGAGGAAGGAAGGAAGGAAGGAAGGAAGAGGGAAGGAAGGGAATATGAAAACGTTTAATTGGCTTCATGTATCCTCAACTCTGGGATTTTCACCAATCAGGAAGAGGAAAGAGGCCAAAAGAGGGGCGGGGCTTAATGTTCCAGGTGAGGTTAAACAGCTGATAGAAGCGAGTTATGGTGCCTTTCCACTGCAGGGCCTCGCTCGGCTCAGTACGGTGTGGTTTATTTCTGTCTGTAGGCCGTTGTTGTGAGTGTGGACGGTCGGAGCATATACTGCGTTAGCTTAGCCGATCTCCATTCAGAAAACACGCTGAGATTTTGGAGAGCCAGAAAACTGTGAAAAGTACCCGCTAGCCGGAGCTATGCCTAGTGGAAACGCAACCAAAAACGGGCCGGGCACGGCACGCTCAAACCGCGCTGCAGTGGAAAAGCACCATTATTGTCCCTTAGAGCCCCCCTCCCCCCCCTCCTCTTCCTCCCTCCTCTTCATCACTGTGAGGGGGGAACAGGAAGTGGGAGCGGAGGAATAGGAAGTGGGCGTGTCCAGGTGCAGCTCCACGGGGGTGAGGGTGATCTCCACCTGGTCATCATCGTGCAGCGTGGGGGGGGGCAGCACAGCTGATGGAACAGCCAACATGTTGTTTCCTGGTCTTGGGGCTTTCTGAATGACCCCCTGAATCTCCCAATGGGGAGGGGGGGCGCTCTGCAACAGCTGGATGACACCCCCCGTTACCGAGGTGATGATTGGCATGTGAGAGGGGGCAGGGGGTTTGGGTGAGAGAACAGCCGGAGGAAGAGGGGGCGGGGCTTCTTCTGGGCGCGGTTTCCTAGGTCGTCCTCGCTTTCTTTTCAGAGGGAGGGGGGTGGGGAAGGGGTCAGAGGGGGGTCGTTTGGTGACCCCTGACCCTTGACCCCGGGGCTTCTGTAGCACCGAGGTGGGGGCTGAGAGCTGAGGGGGGGGCGGGGGGGCGGAGGTCAGGACGCTCTGTGGGAGGATCATCACTGGAAGAGCCCCGCCCCCCATGGAGATGACTTTCACCTGACCTCCGGGGGCCGAAGCTCCTCCCACACCTGGGGGGTCTTTGGGAGCTAGCGAGGGGGGAGGAGCTAACAGAGAGGGGGAGGAGCTAACAGACAGGTGAGTCTTATCGGGGAGGGAAGAGCGAGGGAGGATTCTGGGTAACTGCTTCATGAAGGCCTCCACCTGAAACACATCATCAGTATCATTGTTGTTGTTAATAAATACGATACGATAATCCTTTATTGGTCAGATAAATATTTGTTACACATGGAGCTGCTGTGACTTGCATCACATGTAACACATATCAAGACACAATACATGAGAAACAAACATGTAACATAACAGCAGCATCAGAGAGAGATGTTGATGTTAAATGTTTGTTGTTTGTTAAACAGTTAAACAGATGTAAGACATGACGTGTAGACGTACCGCAGGACGCAGAGACGAGGAAGAGGAGGATGAAGGAGGAAGAGGAGCGTCCAGAGGCTTCACTGCTGCAGCTGATTTGTCTCCAGGTCTCAGTGAAGAAGACGAGGAAGAAGAGTCCCCGAAGTCCTTCTGCAGACAGACAGGAAGTGGTTAGCAGCAGCCACAGGAAGTGATGAACAGCAGGTATCAGGTGAGCTCACCTTGTGATCAAGTGATGAACAGCAGAGGCCTGTACTACGAAGCTGGTTCAACCTAACCTGGATATGTTTGAGTTAGCCGGTTGGCCTAATCCAAAAAATACGCGCTCTCGCTAAACGGTCCTACGACGCGGGTTATCAAGTGGATCGCTCAAGCCAGCCGTGTCCTATCTAGTTAGGTGAGCGTTCACATGAAAGGGGTGGTATCTGGAGCATTCGACCAATCACAAACATGGAGAAGCGTACTGACAGCGCAGCGTCATACTTCCTGAATGAAAAGTCAACTATAATATTAGACATATGAAGAAGTTAAACTTTAAACATCCATGACTTAAACACTTTATCCAGGATCAAAGCCACATAGCTGCACCTGCAAGGTGAATACAGCTGGCAACAGAACAAGTGTTTGAATGCGTACATTAACAGGTTTATGATATCACTGCCCCGTCTAAGACACCATCTGACTTTCATTACATTTGACTCGAGTGTTTCCTCAACTTAATGTGTTGCTTAAAATAATACTTCTGCATACAGTATGTGACACTGTGAGTGTTGCACGGCCAGATACGGCTCAGCTGACTCAGATAAGGAGATATATGATACATTATGATGTGATATGCCGCGGACTGTACT